GCATATGTAATGTGAGAGCAGAAACAAATTACAGAGTAGAAACAATTTAATTTTCATCTTAGACATGAGTCTTCTCTCACCCAGTTTAAATAAGCTGCTCTGAAGTTCTCCACCCACAAACTGTTCCTTCCACGTCTTTTCCATCCATTTTCTAGATTGTGGAGGAGACTTCAAAAGATATATTGGAGAAAGTGCCTGAGCCCATTGACTTGCAGAGAGTAATGCTGAGATATCCTGTACTGTATGAGGAGTCCATGAACACGGTTTTGGCGCAGGAAGTGATCAGGTATAAGTCTTACTTTAACCCAACTCTTTGCAGGACTCCTCTGCAGGTGCCTCTCAGAGTTTACAGTTTAGTAAACTGAAACTAGCAGAGGAGCAACTGCTAGGGAGAGCAAGTGGGTACAATAGATCTGCAGGCAGGTAAATGAGGCAGGAGCTGCCTTTCTCCACCTATTTGGGCATTTGAGGACAAACTCCATTTACATTACCCTCACAGCACATAAATTTGTGTTTCAGCTTAAGGTTATGAAAACTGAACTATTTATAACTTTTCTGACAATGAAATGTGGAAAGAAACAAATACCCCCCCTCCCCATCCCAGAATTCATATTTCAGACATATTAATATCTAGTTACGCTGGAAATGAATTTAAACAGCCTTTACAGAGCTGCATATGATATAATGTTGAGAATTTTGTTGAAAACCAGCATATAACTTAAACATGATATCCCCAAGTTTACACAATAGTGCAGTCATATATGCTCACAGAAGTTATTAAAATCACAGCATTGGATTAGTTTGCTTTTTTTAAAAAAACAAGAATACCTGCCTTGATTTTGCACAGATACAATCGTCTGCTGGCAGTCATTGCAGCGAGTTTAAAAGATCTGCTGAAAGCTCTCAAAGGCCTAGTGGTGATGTCATCCCAGCTGGAACTGATGTCCATCAGTTTATACAACAATATTGTCCCGGAGATGTGGAATAGTAAGGTACTTCTGAGTGCTATGCACAGTTTTTGGTAGTTGCAGCAGTGCAGCAGGTTGTTTTGCAAAATGGGAGAAACACCTCTATACTACTTAGCTGCTATGACTGGTCAGTTTTTCATAAGGAACGTCAAGCCAGACTTCACAGATGTACAGATGAAGCCAAACCTTAAAAAACACTTTTTCTTGCTTACATTGTAGAAATTTAGCACCATAGATTACTGGCTGACCAAGTAGAGTTAATTTTTATTTGCATTTAAAATGTTTGCCTCATAGCAGTTCAAAGGACTGGGACTTACAGCTGCTCAACAGCTCTTTCTTCCAATGCCATTCTTCCCACAGGCCTATCCCTCCTTGAAGCCCTTGGCCTCCTGGGTGAACGACCTGCTGCTGCGCATTGACTTCTTGCAAAGGTGGATTGAAAAAGGGATCCCACCTGTGTTCTGGATAAGCGGCTTCTTCTTCCCACAGGCTTTTCTAACAGGGACACTGCAGAACTTCGCCAGGAAGTCTATCATATCCATAGACACCATCTCTTTTGACTTCAAGGTCAGTGGATCATGTTGTATCAAAAGCTCAGCAAGTGATGTTTTTTACCCTTTTACCTACTGAAAACCCAAGTGTCAGCTTTGCAAGTGAAAGGTACTTGTAGTTCCTAGTCTCCCATTACATTTAAACCACTACAGCAGTGGTTCCCAATTACCACAGAACACCCCTACTTTTTAAAATTTGGTAGTTTATGTTATGTGAGTGGTGCTACAGGTATAGAATCATAGAATCATAGAATCATAGAGTTGGAAGAGACCACAAGGGCCATCGAGTCCAACCCCCTGCCAAGCAGGAAACACCATCAGAGCACTCCTGACATATGGTTGTCAAGCCTCTGCTTAAAGACCTCCAAAGAAGGAGACTCCACCACACTCCTTGGCAGCAAATTCCACTGTCGAACAGCTCTTACTGTCAGGAAGTTCTTCCTAATGTTTAGGTGGAATCTTCTTTCTTGTAGTTTGGATCCATTGCTCCGTGTCCGCTTCTCTGGAGCAGCAGAAAACAGCCTTTCTCCCTCCTCTATGTGACATCCTTTTATATATTTGAACATGGCTATCATATCACCCCTTAACCTCCTCTTCTCCAGGCTAAACATGCCCAGCTCCCTTAGCCGTTCCTCATAAGGCATCATTTCCAGGCCTTTGACCATTTTGGTTGCCCTCCTCTGGACACGTTCCAGTTTGTCAGTGTCCTTCTTGAACTGTGGTGCCCAGACACAATCATTCTGCTCAGATACAGACAATCTCCTTTGATATAATCCCACAGGCAGGCTTCTTTTTCTGTGGTTTCAAACTGGCACATTTCTTTTACCTGATTGATTGATTGATTGATTGATTGATTGACAGATTTGATTGATTGATGAAAACTTGCTTTCCCACCCTCTCAATTTAGGTGATGAGTCAGCCTGTGCAGGCACTAACTCAGCGACCTACTGAAGGATGTTACATCCATGGCTTGTTTCTGGAAGGGGCTCGCTGGGACCCCATGTTCTTTCAGCTTGCAGAGTCACGGCCAAAGGAGTTGTACACAGAAATGGCAGTCCTGTGGCTAGTTCCTGTGCCTAACCGCAAGCCTCCAACCAAAGGCATCTATCTGTGTCCCATCTACAAGACATTAACTCGTGCAGGTAAGCCTTTCAGGGGAAGGTTGGGTGAAGGATGCCAAAACTTGGAAAGGAACAGTATTAGAAATTCTTCTCATGAATCTAGCCTTTCTCAACTTTAGGTCCGCAGATGGTGTAGGACTACAACTCCTATCATCCCTAGCTTAGTAGTGGTCAGGGATGATGGGAGTTGTAGTTCAACAACATACTAAGAAAGGCTACAGTAATCTATCAATAGGGGAGACAGGTGCTTTCTCATGCTGAAAATCAGGTTAGAATTTTAGATATGTCCCTTTGCATCTTTGACTACTTTTAGCAAGATAAAAAGCTTCCCCCATCTCTCAAACAATCTGGGGATTACAAACAATCCCTTGTTACATGGTGTTTGCATAAACCTTTGCTAGGGAAGGGGAAGCAGAACAAACAAGGAAGAAAGTGCTCTGCCCTCCAGCCATGATAATTTTTTTCAGCTACTTTTCCGTCTCCAGAGATTTCTTTTGCAGAAATCATGCCAGTTTGAAAGACAAAAAAACTCCTGTAGCAAATGTCATTTCAGCCGTAGGATCATCAGCCTGTAAGTGGTACAAAGATATTATCTTCTTCAGTATACTACAGTCTAACACTGTTCATTTTCTTTGCTAGGGACACTGTCCACAACGGGCCATTCTACTAACTATGTGATTGCTGTAGAGATTCCAAGCAGTAAACCTCAGAGGCACTGGATTAAACGGGGTGTTGCCTTGATCTGTGCCTTAGATTTCTAAACACTGAAGGAATAGACTTGAGCAGCTTCCTGAAGCTTAGAGAAGAATGAAGTTATGCAGGTGCTCTATGCAACTAGACTTGTTCGATGAAGCCTCCTCTGCTGAAACAGAGCTGATCATAAGATTGTGATAATGCTATCATTTCATTAATTTAATCCTATAACATTAATAAAATATCAACTTTGGTTTCGCAGACAGCTGTGGCACTCCTAACTGGGGTTTCCCTCATCCTGTAGACAAAGAGGACACAAGGGTGCAGTTGCTAAGATGTATAGTGACAAAAGCATTTCTGTTTTTGCAAGTATAGAGACAAAATTTTAGTTTTAAGGTCTGATCAGAGAAATCTTCAGATGGGTATGCATTTTATTTTCTGACCCAGAACTGGTATTTACAGCACTTGAAACTGACAAAACAAAAGACAGTTGATTCTGTCAACATATAAAAAATAATAATTCTACAGTCAGCATCTGTACATATTTTCAGAGAAAGCAAATGCAGTTCTGCTGTCAGCTGCACTACCGTCTCAGGAATCACTGGGTGTCCTTTCCCTCCTCAGCTTGTGGTCTTCCTTTGCTTTCCACTAATCATTTCTGGTAGTACAAAAGTAGACTCAACTATACATGTTCATGGAATGAGTTTCAGCAAAAGAGAAATTCTTCCAGAAATCCTATGACAGCCTATGACTACCAGCAAGCATAACCTACAGCAAACTTGCAGGTGGGTCCTGGTCTCTCTCCTCAATACGAACGCTGCTGCATTTACCATGTACAGTCAAACCTCGGTTGTCGAAAGTAATCCGTTCCGGAAGCCTGTTCGGCTTCTGAAATGTTCAACAACCGAGGCACGGCTTCCGATTGATTGCAGGAGCTTCCGGCACTCAAGCAGAAGCCGCGTTGGGACATTCAGCTTCCGAAAACCAGAGCATTTACTTCCGGGTTTTTGGCGTTCAGGAGCCGAATCGTTCAAAAACGAACTGAGGTTTGTACTGGATTTTCACAGGACACAAGAGTAAATCAATATACATAAGGAGGAGTAGACAAGAAGGTCTCAAGTCAGCTGTGGTGGCAGTAGAGCTGCCATGCTGATTATCCAGCTTGCCAATCTTTTACCGTTAAGCCTGTTGCTGCAGCAGAAGACTGGCAATGAGGTAGAACTGGGGGGGGGGGGGATTGTACACCCTTGCTGGCAAGTAGCAGCAGCAGAGGGTGACTGAATATGCAGCTGTAGGGCTGCTGAGCAGTGTCCACAATCCCAGGTACACCTGCGCACTGATGATCCAGCTGTCTCTGCCTTCACCATCACCCACGCTAATGGCATAACTCCTCCCTCACTGATCACTGCCACCCACTGCTGAGAAAACCACTACTTCTTGCCCTGTCTCACTTCTCACTATAAAAGCAATACAAGGAAAACCAATTATCCAACGGTAGCCCTTTCATCAACAGTCTGCTTCCTGTCTGTGCCTCAGAAGTGTTAACAACCCCAAAAAAGGGTCACTTCACATTCACTGGCAGCAGTGAAGGAGCTGCTTTCCTGGGGCGGCTTCCTTTATTTCACCTGCCACATGCTTGGAGGAATCACACAGAGAGACCACTGTCATGATTCCTACCCACCTGATTTTTTTTTTTTTTTTTGGTGGTCTAACAGTTCCAGAGAGCAGAGAGAGAGAACAGAACAAATACCTATGTTACTTCTAGCATATCATGACACTAATCCACCCATTTCAACTGTTTGTCTCAGCATTGTTTTAACTTCATAAAGGGTGGTTTTATGCAGCATAATCTGAGCAAAAGCCAAGGGACTTTCAAGGGGCACCTGAGGCTACAGTTTATCAACCCCCAAGTTCAGGAAGGGGGAAATAATCTTGTATGATTGATCATTCTGATCCTTTTCTGTGCATGGCTAACAAACAGAAAAATATAACAGAAAGCAGCACACACTTCAAGGTATACACCCCTATAAATTGTGAGTCACGCTGTGTCCTTACTTTGGGCACCCACCGCCCATTTCAGAAATTCCTCTCCCTGTTCCTGCAACAACTGAAGAAACCGCCCAGAGAAACATTAACAGGACTGATACTGAACTGAAAGACCTTCTGCAAAGGAGGAGCAAAGAAGCCTGACCTTCAAGTGGAAAGCATCCCTTCCAATGCACATAATAGATTCCTGGAAAAAGGGTAGATGGCCACCTGTAGTCCACTACAATGATAATATGGCTCAGAAAATATATATATACATTTTAATACAGAAAATAGATAATAGCCTCCCAGGAGAACACAGAGCCATCGGCACTGGCCAGAAACAGTACATTGCCAATTCCTTTTTTGCTGGGAAACCTGAACCCAACACCACACCAACTCCTGCTGCAATGCCCTTCTAGAAGGTGGCAGGAATTTGGTTTCTCCTTTTCAATAATCTCCCTACAGAGCTTCTGAAGGATGCCATTGGCTACTGCAAGATATACTGCAGATGGATTTCGGACACTGAGTAGCAAATTCAAGTGCTGTGTTAAGTAGGACCCTCAAGTGGTCCTGGTCCTTAGGGTTTGGAGAAAAGTTACACTGGAATGCCCACATAGTCCACCACCATTAGAGGAACATCTACAGCCCATTTGAATGCAGGTGGATTTGCATGTAACATTACACTAACACTGATTATTTGAACAGAGATGTTCAGTGCAAAGCCCATCTCCTGGGCACTGCCCAGCTGGTAGAGCCTGAAATGTGCACCAGATGACCAAAGTGACAAGCAGTGAACACAACGTACTGTCCAAAGGCCGGTGCTACTGACGCTTGGCTTTATACGGCCGGGAACGTTTCCGCCGGTCAGGCTTCCGCTGCTTGTGGAGACGCCCAATGCTGACCCCTTGCCGCCTGCGCACAGAGATGTTCTGTTCAACAAGGCTAGCCAACATTCCTGCAGGAAGAGAGTTTGAAAGGTTAGCTAAAGAGAAACAATTGTTATGCAGTTAGGAATGTTCTTTCCTTTTCAGCCACTTCAAAACACAAATTCTAGGGAAATAGCTTTAGTTGCCAAACAAAAGTCTTGGGACCTTAAACCAAAGATTTATTGTAGCATAAAGGTTGTGTGAACTAAAGCTTCCATAGCCAGTCCTCTAAAGATTACAATATTCATCTTTAAGGTGCAATTTAAGACATACTGTCCTTCAAAGTAAACTACACAAGTCTTCAATTCTGTACCAGAGGGCAGGTTAGATAGTCAGGAGCATTATATGCATCACAAGTTCATGATCAGGAGTTATTTAAAAAAAGCATGCCCAAACATGGAAACTCTTCAAAGGTCCTCTTTTGTGGATACTGCCTTCAAAGGGAGGAGATTTAAAATCAAAGCTGCAGTTTCCAAAATGCAAGTAAAGACCAAAAGAACAGTCCCGGATGCCAGGACTGCTCAACAGGCATCTTACCTTCTTGTGCCAGCATGGAGATAAAGGTGCATATGAATTCATCATAATTGTGAGTTCTTCTCTGGTCATCAATCTAAGGGGAAGAGTCAGTAAGGTGGAAGAGAATTATCAGTTCAGCAGTTATAGTCGAAGCAGTCAAGAGAAAATGTTTGCCAGTGTTAACTTTTATGTGGCTGACTGGCAATATATAAGTGAATTAAGTCTACTGTATCTTATCCAAAATAAGCTTGGGAAATTATATCCAGTGGCACACCAGTGCCCACAAATGAAGAACGATAGCAAAAGCCCATTTTCTCCAGTTTTTAGTAGATGTATAATAAGTAATAGATAATGAGATTTCCAGCTTTAGGCAAGAGGCACTGTGCAAATATTACTAACCCAGCCAAAAAAGCAGTAGCTTAGCATCATGAATGGTCTCCTGGTATGATGTCTTCTGATTTTGCTAGTCTGGAGACTTCTTTTCATATCAGAAACTGTGGTCATGGTGAAGGAAAGTCATCTCATGATTACCCCCCAAGATGAAACACCCTGCTAGAATACCTTGAACTTCTTCCTTTTCTCTACCTCCTCCTTTAAACAGGCTTCATAGTTAGCTATTTCGGCTTCCACACATTTCAGCAGTGCCAGCAGCTCCTGCCAGAGCCAAAACAGGGACAGTATGAACACACCCAATCCCCAACAGTGTTTCATCGACTTGCAAAGTCAGCAGAAAAAACAGCGCACCATCTAGAACAATCTCACATGAAGCACAAAGAACATCTCATAGTTTTGGTGCCAGACAAGGCCATTTTGTAACTCATAGAGTGTGTAGTCCCAGGAGGGGGGTACTCAGTCCAGAAACCATATTAAGAGAGGCTGCAACGTTGGAAAGTGGTTCTACCTAACAGCAGCAAGGAAGAAGGGGGGGGGACCACCAGCAGTAATGTAGGAAATTAACAAGCTGCAAGGTTTAGTGTTACACAGTCTCATAGACCTTGGACTGTCTGAAGCAGGCATCCCCAATTCTTCGGCCCTCCAGATGTTTTGGACTACAATTCCCATCATCCCTGACCACCGGTCCTGTTAGCTAGGGATCATGGGAATTGTAGGCCAAAACATCTAGAGGGCCGCAGGTTGGGGGTGCCTGGTGCGAAGCATAACTGTGAGGAATCGCAGCATCTACAACTCATACTGCCAACGAGCATCAGCTGTCTTGGGGAGGGAGGGGAGCAGGGGTAGAAATGCTTACTTTAGGAGAATACTTTTCCCCACAAGGGAGATCACCAGACCGACCAAGTCCAGGCTTCTCCTTGCTGTCATTTGCTTCACTTGAGTCTCTCTCTTCTAGCTTGACAGTGGACTGAAGCTCTTCACTGGATTTGCTAGAAGATGAGGATTTTTTCCCAGCATCTGGTATCAGTGGAGAAGAGAGCAAAAAGGAGGGATGCCTCAGGAGAGTTGGACTAGATGACCCTTGGGCTCCCTTCCAACTCTACAATTCTAACACACAGGATGGATTCATCTTATTATTAAAACCATTGTATACCACTTTTCATTTCAAAGAAATACCAAAGTAGTTTACAAAATAAAACACAGCTGCATACAAGCACAACAAAACATCAGCATCAAATAAAGTAGCCAGAAATGCCAGGAAGTGATATTAACACTCAGGAAAATACACAAATCGTTTTAAGTACTTCTGTAGTGTTTAAATACATGTTTTGAGCACAGGTCATACTCATATTCCTCCTTCCATAACTATCCCATACATAGTCCTAGGCCAGACTCCTGCTTTTAGTAGTCCAAGGCTGTAGTCACATCAAGTCAACACTGGGTCCTTCTATAGGGATTACTCATAAGCATATGCCTTGCTTCGACACAGTTCACACATGCTTTGGGAGGAGAGAAGTTGTGAAGATTATCTGATAGTACTTTGGCTCTGCTTCCAGAATCAGCAATGAGACAGACTCTTAATGATAGAAAAAGGAACTCTAGAAAAAGGAAGAGCAGACCTTTGCTGTAATGCTCTCACCAACAAACTGCAGAAGTTAGGGGAACCTCCACAATATATGCCATATTCATAATCATTGCCCACCAAACCGCTTGTTCATCCCTGCACACAAAAAAACCTTTTAAAGACACCTAGCAAAAAAACCCACCTGGGCCTTTTTCTCTGTAACCTGGCAGGTTTCAAACCTAAGAGTACCTCTATATGCTGTTTTCATAAACATCATCACTTTAAAAAACAGGAAAAATTAAGTGAGCCTTTTAACTTTTCTAAACAAAACCTGTCCTTGCAGTTTCTCCTTCTGAAGTTTGGCAGGATTCATCTCCTTAGAAGAAACTATCATGCCTGTAAATTTCATCCAATTCTGCCCAAAATTAACACATAGATGGTTCCTCTTGGGGCAGGTGTGTTTAAACTTTAAATGTGCCTAGCATGAAAACTCATTCTCCTATGTTTCTATAAGATGGAAAACTTCTGAATCAGGATTTGAACCCAGAACTGAAATGGATAGTCTCCAAATCACTCTCAACTGAACTGGGTTCTGAACTGAATCAGGATCAGCACACCCCTACCAAACAGCTTTTTGTTCTATTCTTATGCCTTTGGTATCTAACTGGAAACCACTGCAGAAGTAGTACAGGGGCTACAGCCCTTCCCCTGAACCTTACCTGTTATAGTAAGTGGGCAGAAAACCCCATCCTCTGTGAGGTGCAGTAAGCCTGTGCTGATGATAGGCCCCAAATCCCTCACAGCTCGATTGTAGCGTATACAGTCCACACGCAGAAGGCTATCCTCCTCCCCAAACAGCACCTTGGAGATGTGAGAGGTGACAGGGCTGGAGGGACGAGTGGGGTTGGCTGAGCGGATGGGGGAGCGGAGTGGGGAATTGAAGGCACTCCCAATCTCTGAGGCAGTGTCCGTACTCTCATTGCTGGGTGTAGGAGATGGTTGGGAATGGGCAACAGCAGCAACAGCAGTGCCTCCACTGCTGGTCTTGATTGACAGGGGGATGGAGAGATCCTTCTGTGTTTCCTTGAGCTTCTCAGTTAGGACATTAATAGTGTTGGGCTGCAGCATGGAGAGCTGGCCATCTGCACTCCCCGCCAGGGGCTCCTGCTTCACTGGGCCCTTCCGCTTGTATCTGTTCAAGATTGGGGAACAAGAGAGGAAAGATAAATTGAAAATGATTGAAGGGCAATAGGAGCAGCAAAGATCAGGCATAACAGGTCTGGTGGAAACAATCAAAACATCGCAGTATTCCATATTCACATTCAGTAATATACAATTAAAAAATGCAGAACACCAGGAGTCTCTACTGTAAAGGATTTGTCTGCTTGTTTATTTAAACCAGTGTTTCCCAAACTTGGGTCTCCAGCTGTTTTTGGACTACAATTCCTATCATCCTTGCTCACTGGTCCTACTAGCTATGATGGGAGTTGTAGTCCAAAACCAGCTAGAGACCCAAGATTGGGAAACACTGGTTTTAACAGTTTGTATCCCACTTTTCACCAGGTAGGTCTCAAATCAGCTTACAACAATAGAATACACAAATTTTAAAACAATTAAACCTCTAAAATTTAAAATCTCCTTTCACAAGGGAGTGAGGCTTCAAATCAAAGTCAAATATAGCAACTGAAAATGCTGGTTTTGAAAAATAATCACTGACTTGCATTGAAAAGCTCCCACCCTCTATTCTATGCCTATAGAGGAGCAAAGGGAGAACGAATCACCATTACCTCATGGCGGGATTGGCATTGCAAACTTCCTCCTCCTCCTCCTCATCGTAGTCATCCTCCTCGTCCGAGTACTGCTGGTGCTGCCGTACTGGGACCCGGCTCCGGCCCACTCCTGCTGCAAGGTCCTCTTCCTCCTGCATTGCATATCAGAATACACCTTAGGAATGCAATCTGGGAGGATCTACTGCCCTCAAAAGCCCCTCATTTAACTAACAGTCCTTCGCAAAGAAATATCCCAGGCATCATCCGAGCCCTGAGAAACCAACTTTCTAAGCCCATGTCTGTAGTGCCAAATTTCCCATTAAAATAACTCATAAACAGCAAAAAAAAAAAAAGTGATCTTGCCGAAAAAGCTCAACAACAGAAAAAGCTTAACCAACTTTCTGTCTGGGTTTTCACTGTTTGAAATATGGGAACCCTAGATCAGATCAATGGCCCATCCTGTTCTCCCAGCGACCAACTAGATGCTCATAGAAAGCAGGATATGAGCTATCATGTCCCACTTGCACTTCCCAGCAACTGATATTCAGAGACAGAGATGGCTATTCCGACAGAACACAGCCATGGTGCTTAGTAGCCACTGGCAGCCATTTATTCACAACATAGGAATGTTCCTACTTCATACCCACTAATGGACAAGCTAAGAGAGTCAGAGGAACTTCAGTGGAACAACCTATAAAGCAATGGCAGACACCTATGTAGGAAAGCTTTTTTAAAAAAATAAATACTGAAGGCAAATTCTCATGTTAAAGATTTGTTTCTTTTTGGCATGTGAAAGAAAGCTTGACAACAGTCACTGTCAACTGGAGATTCGTAAATCAGAAACTTGAATGAGATACTTGTGTTCAGCATAGCTGCCCTTTACTTACTTGCATGGGTGACTTGGCATAGTTGTGGTTATCCAGGAAAGCTGGCAGTCTCTGCACGATAGGGCTAGGGTTGGCCAGTGCCCCATTGATGCTGCTCACAGGTAGCTTATTGCCCAGCTTGGATTTGCTTGGGGGGCTCTGGGTTGATGAAGGCTGATCCTGGCCTCCAGACTCCTCAGTGCTCTCTGGAAAGAACACCTCTCTTTTATTTTCCCATTTGAGAGCATTTACACTTGCTTACTGAGTAAATGCATACACCTCCAATGAGACATTTTCAGATGCACTGAGCAAGCACTCCTTTCCAGAACACCACACGCTTACCCCAAATCCAACAAAGGCAAACAAAGACACTGAAATCTGATACAAATGCCTACAATTTGCAACCCTGTTTTTGCACTAAGGGACGGGCTAAAACAGGCATGGCCAAACTTGGCCCTCCAGATGTTTTGGGACTACAACTCCCATCATCCCTAGCTAACAGGACCAGTGGTCAGGGATGATAGGAATTGTAGTCCCAAAACAGCTGGACGGCCACGTTTGTCCATCACTGGGCTAAAGTATTATTTATTTATTTTGTTTAAGTAGTAAAATCAGGCCCTCAGCGGCTTTCACATACAGTGGTGCCTCGCAAGACGAAATTAATTCGTTCCGCGAGTTTTTTCGTCTTGCGGTTTTTTTCATCTTGCGAAGCACGGTTTTGGAAGTTTTGGAAAAGCTTCAAAAATCACCAAAGTCTTCAAAAACCTCAAAAAAGGCTACCACACCGCGTGCTATGAGTTGCTCCTCAAAGTCAAGTCGCAACTGTATTAACGGTGTTAAGAAAAAGGAAAGAAACTTGCAAGACGTTTCCGTCTTGCGAAGCAAGCCCATAGGGAAAATCGTCTTGCGAAGCAACTCAAAAAACCAAAACCCCTTTCGTCTTGCGAGTTTTCCGTCTTGCGAGGCATTTGTCTTGCGAGGTACCACTGTAGTAAGTGGATCCTTAATAAGCCAAGTTTATTTTATTACATTTCTACCCCACCCTTCCTCCCAAAGGAGCACAGGGTGGCAAACATCAGAATGATAAAGCACGTACACATACACTTACAAACAGTTAAAAACATCTAAAACATATCCCATTCTGAGCATGGTTCTTTGTTCTCCGCACTCCACAGTCCACAGCCCCCTTCCACATTTCCCCATACCTGCTTGTGAGCTCTCGGGGACCAGCTGCGCTCGCCCCAGTGGCAGGGCGGTGGGGGGCTTGCTGTTTGCTGACTTTGGCTCTTCAGAAGCCTGGGCCTCCAGGAATTTCTGGGTGTGGACCAGCTCTGGTTGTGTCACACGGATTAGCTAGTGAGGAAAAAATATAGATAGAACAAAGAAATTGGCAAAAAGGAAAAACCCACAGACATAGAAGGAAAGCAATGAAGTCAGTTCCCAATTAACATGCTTCCTTAATGAAAAGGCCAGCCAGGAGTGGGGAGGAGGAGAACCATGTAACCTCTTGCGCTATTTATTTATTTCTGCTATTACTGAATTATATGGGGCTGCTGCCACTGCTCACTCTGATCACCAACCCCTCAACCACCACCCTTTCTCCCCCACCTGACCAAACACCCCACTCCCTCTCCACAGCCCCCCTTCCCTCACAGCTCATTAAAGGTTTAATGGAGGGAAGGGCGCTTCAGAAAGTGATTTGCCAAACCACTCTCTGAAGTGCTTCCCAACCTCCTTTAAACACCACTTCGGCAAAGGGGGAGGGAAACAGTGAGAGAAACAGCTCTCTGAGCCTTCCCCACATTAAACATTGCTCCTTCCTTAGCAGCTCACATTGGCTGCGCAGCAACTTACTTGCTCAGCTGCCTGCTGCACTCTTGTACGTAATACAAGCTGTAATAGAGTGTGACACTTTCAAACATGTAGTACAGAAAGACTTTGGTTCAAGCAATGATTTAGAAACGATTCATTTTGGTTCCCACCCCAGGCTCAGAGGCCAGCCCACAGAGGGCCTTCCCTGAATTCTATACATACAGAAGTCATCTTCCGGTGTTTCTAAATTGAGGGAAAGTGGGTGAAAAATGTATACAATCTGCAGCCCCAGCAATGGTTCAACAACATCAGTCTTGTACACAGACATACAGATAGCCAGATGCAGTCAAGAGAAGAGATTCAATTACTAGGCTCATCCCAAACTTACCTGCTGCAAAGCCTCTAATACAGTTTGCCGGTTCATCTTCAAGATATGCAGCTTGGATTCATACTTCATCCTCCTGTCAGGCACGACTGCCATCAAGTTAAAGCGGATGTCATGATATGGCTCCCTGCAGGAAGACAGCATCAAGTGCTAAACGCCCCAATTCAAAGTACAGGGTGAGTCTTTTAAAAGAGGCCCCATGGAACATGTGTACTCTGTATCCACAGGGCCTCTTTTAAAGGACTCATCCTGTATTTGCAGCAGTATATTTCCCTCTGTCACCACAATGCTAACATCACAGTGTATGGCACTGAACGGACAAAACTATTGGGAGTGCAGGGGCAACATGTCTTGGGACCAGAAGACGGCCTTCCAGAGAAAGCTGAACCAAAGCAAGATCTACAGAACATGAGATCCCAGGAGAAAGACTTGTCTCTTCTGAAGCACACCCTCCTAAGTTATCACAGGATCCTAACTAAACATGGCAGCTATGCAACATCCCAAGTAACAGAGGCACTATGCCTCTGAATGATGTTCACTTAGACTCATGAGCAGGAGACTCCTAATGCGCACATGTCATGCTCGTGGGCTTCTCATAGGCATCTGGCTGGCCACCATAAGAACAAGGTCTTCCTATGCTATGGCACTTTGATCATTTACCCTGCTGTGGCAAGTCCAATTCTCTCCATGATCACTCTTCGAGCTTTGTCTGTCCATTCCTCCTCTTCTGCCCACGGACCTGAAAAAGCAATAAGAAGGTAAATGTAGAAACAAACAAAGAAAAAGTCCCTGCTAACAGACTAAATGAGCTTGAACTGTATACGCAACAGGGAGTGTAAAGGTAGTTCGGTTAAGGTAAAGAAATCCATCGCAAGACCTATCACGTACAACAACCCTTGGGAACGAGCTCACCTGAGCTTCCCATGTGGCTGGCTAGATTCTGATCCATCCATGCTACCTGCAAAGTCAACTTATAAAATAAATGTAAATTGTTCCCCTTTAAGATGTTTGTTTCAGCCTAACCCTGAGACCCAGAATAGGTTATCAAATCTAAAGAAAATAGAAACGCAGAAACACATTCAGATTAAAAAAACAAACCACTCCTTCCCACTGTATCCAAGTGCTTTCTAATGCTGTTCTCTTACTCAACCATTTGCAGAGGTTACCAGAATAAGGCATTTCCGCCCATTCTCTCTCCTCACACCCACAAGGTGTAACAAAATATACCCAGAAATCCTTAGATATGATGTTGCCTCCAGTCATGATTCAGTCCCACTCTTTAATGAGTTCCCCAAGGTACATCTATTTCCTAGACCTTTGCTAATTCATAGATTTTACTTTTCCTCTGACCTCTTCCCTTGCCCACTTTCTTTTCTTTTTCAACATGTACCCGTCTACGTAGATAAGTTTGCAGACAGTTCTGCTATCGTTTATTTTACTTACTGCAACTATTTAATGTATTTCTTTCCTGCCTCACCAGAAGAATTTGCAGAATAATAATACAACAAATATAAAATATACCAAAAACATCTGAAAAGAGCAACTGCAAGCAAATGAACAGTAGGACTAAAACTGCAAACACAGCCTCCCTCCTGCAATTTCTGCAGCCAAGCTGGTGCTGAATGTATTGCTCTGTTTTCATCAGCAAAGCCGAGAGGGGTGTTCTTGTCCTCTGGGCAGCCCAGGACTTCCATGCACACTTCCCAGGCATACAACTCAGAGATGCACCTATTGTCTCTCGAGACAAATGGGTGCTGACAACAACATTTTTGATGTCTCCAAATATCTTGCACCAACATTTTTAGTTTTTCAGATAAGCTAAGGCACAGTAGGTGGAGTCCCTTACCATGGTCAATGGGATAAACCTTCAGGCCATCCAGCTCAAAGAGCCTCCCCTTAATGGGAACGTAGCTGACAAAGTGAAAAGCCTCCATGGTTCGCACCGCACTGATCCCATTCTGTTTCTCTGGCAAATGCCGGGGCTCTGGCCTACCAAAAAACCAATAGACAAGAAGTCAGAATAGATGTGGTCTATTTTTCAGCAAGCACTTTTGTGTTGTGACCCCACTTACCTAGCATGACTGTTGTGGGCCTTGGCCAGTTCTGGGGCATTTCCAATGGCATAGCCTTTGCTCTGTGGGGAGGAAACAGAACAAAAAGATAAGATAGCTTCATTTTCACTAGAACCCTTTATCAGGCAAGGAAGGCCCCCAAATGCCAATAACCACCTCACTTCCTGATTGAATTCAGAATGGCATAGCTTGGGCACCACTCCAGCTAGCCAGGAGGACTACTCTCTAAGTAAAAGCTAAGTAAAATTTACTTAGAAATAATCTGCATGAGTTTTGCGAGACGACTGCAACCACAGTTTGATCAGACAATATGGAGATAAATCATACTGGCTGGGAAAGAAGACACTACAAAGAAAGGATGTTTTATAAAAGCACTTGGGGAGATCAGAAGCTTACAGTGATTTCAGATTAAAAAAGGTAGAGGACCCCTGACAGTTAAGTCCAGTCGCGAACGACTCTGGGTTTGCGGTGCTCATCTCGCTTTATTGGCCGAGGGAGCTAACATTTGTCCGTAGACAGTTTTTCCGGGTCACGCAGCCAGCATGACTAAGCTGCTTCTGGCGAAACCAGAGCAGCGCACAGAAACACAATTTACCTTCCCGCCGGAGCGGTACCTATATATCTACTTGCACTTTGACGTGCTTTCAAATTGCTAGGTTGGCAGGAGCTGGGACCGAGCAATGGGAGCTCACCCCATCGCAGGGATTCGAACGGCCGACCTTCCGATCGACAAGCCCTAGGCTCAGTGGTTTAGACCACAGCACCACCCACATCCCGATTTCAGATTATCCCACCCTAAATGCACCTTGCTGCATCATACCTCTGGACTAAACCCTTTTGTGAACTCCTTCATTCGGCTCAGAGTTGGCCCCAAGTCTACACTGCTGCAGTTCAGGAGGACACTCAACAACGCATGTGTGGCACAAGAATTGGGGATCAGCTATAAAACATAATATTTACAAACATTTAGAAAAACAAAGCAATGAAACAGTCATCAACACTAAGCGTAAATCTACCATTGTAGCTATTGATGCCTACAAGCTAAACATATGGTCCTTAATGCACGGTAATGGTTAAAGGTCGCAGTCAAAACTGGAAGGAATCAAAAGGCCATAGAATTCAACTCCCTGATGCAAGGCCCACACACCTAAAAAGATCAACCTACACAGATCAGACCACATTAGTAACAATGGCACCCTTATTCAAGAGAAGTTTTGACGGAGAAAGTCACTGAAGTAAGCACACCAAGGTGCTAACAGATAACACCCACTGTATTGACTTGTTTGTCCCCAGTTGTGTTAGATGGTGAGTGAGGCGTGTGCAAGACAGCTAAATCAGAAAGCTGTCATACCTTTGGACTAGTTCAACCCACAAGAAAACAGGAGCCTACTAACAGATGTTTCATTTTCAGTATATTCTTCTGAATTATTTCCATCTTCAGCATAAATCATGCTGAAAGTATATATTACAAGCAGATCTGAACAGGCTAAGCAGAGAAAGAATGTGAGCTTTATAAAGGAAAACTTGAACAAGTTATGGAAATTTGACTTACGATATCAATTCAATTGTACGATTTGGGGTTTTTTGTCTGCGAGTTTCAGATTTCAGTGAATACTTCAGGTATCTAGCTAAGAAACCAGCAGATACACAAGGAGGGAAAGATACTGGCCTGGTTCTGTCATCACAACCTTAGTCTGATAAACTATGGGGATGTGTTGTCTGAAGCAGGCAACAGTGAAGGGCAGTTTTATGGAAATGGACAGACTAAATAAAGTAATAAGTTAAGTAACTGAAGGTAAGTAAGAAATTGTGATTATGGCAGGCTCTGGGAATTAATGAATGAATAACAACACCAGGGCTGGAGGTGAAATTCCCTACTCTGAATACGAGGATGCTCTATTCTGTAACCAAGTTATGAAATAAGACTTGGAGCCTTCCACCATGGAAGGCCATATCCCTGATCTCAAATTGGCTGTGGTCAACTGTGGTCACTCAGTGATGAGGAGTTGACACTCTGCACATACTCAAAAGCAGTTTTCTTGAACAGTAATTCACATATTGCAGATCAGAACCTGGGGATTTGTTTTCAGTGCCAAGTATTAGACTGGCTCACATTAAACCCTGTCTCTACCCAACTTGGGACATCCTTCTTTCTTCATCCATGTCAGCTCACCTGATGAGCAAAGAACATATTATTGACAATGTCATCATCAATCACCGATGTCTCATCTACCAGAGTTGAGACCTTCCGTCGTGATCGGCGCTCTTCAATCCATTTGAAAAGGAAGATGAACCCATAGACTGGCCTGAAGAAAAGAATGGAGACAGCAGGGCACCAATGAAGCTGCATCACTTTTGAAGCATTTCTTTCAACAGCTCTCTAGTCATTCACACATGTCAGCCTAAGAGCTTCAGTCATTTAAACAATAACTATAGCTGGTAAAATCAGTGGGGGGAGTAGACAAAGTCAACCATACCACATTACAAATTCCCATTATTGCATCATTCCTGATACTCCCAAATAGCGACAGCGACCAACGGAAATAGTTACAATCTAACATAGACCTTGGGTTGTATTCAGCTAACTTTTACTCCAAGTAGACCCATTCAAATAACTGGACCTAAGTTAGTAATGGTCATTAATTTGAGTAGGTTTACTCTGAATGAAAGTTAGTTATCTACATTTAATTGTCTATGCTTTACTGACTATTTTTGTACTACTCTAAGCTACAGCAGTCTTGTATTTAAACACTAACCTGGTAGCCATAGCTGATCAGGAATGCTGCTATCTTCTAAGAAGGCTAGTAACTTGTATGTTCTTATTTACATGGTTGTACTACATTACAGAAGGGACGCGGGTGGCGCTGTGGGTAAAAGCCTCAGCGCCTAGGGCTTGCCGATCGAAAGGTCGGCGGTTTGAATCCCCGTGGCGGGGTGCGCTCCCGCTGCTCGGTCCCAGCGCCTGCCAACCTAGCAGTTCGAAAGCACCCCCGGGTGCAAGTAGATAAATAGGGACCGCTTACTGGCGGGAAGGTAAACGGCGTTTCCGTGTGCTGCGCTGGCTTGCCAGATGCAGCTTTGTCACGCTGGCCACGTGACCCGGAAGTGTCTTCGGACAGCGCTGGCCCCCGGCCTCTTAAGTGAGATGGGCGCACATCCCTAGAGTCTGTCAAGACTGGCCCGTACGGGCAGGGGTACCTTTACCTTTTTACTACATTACAGAAGGTTTGGCAGGGGTGGGAAACTAGATCTATTTGGTGGGTCAAATCTTTATCTCCCCCACAGGCCACATTTGAGAGGTGTGAGAGCAAAAGCACAGCCACCAAGCACTGTTTATCCACTGATTGCCAAGCCCTTGCTAAGCACTTATGGCTGGGCCAGATCTTTACACAATGTGTTATTCACAAACATCAGAAGGATATTTTGCCTTTCTCAAATCAATATAACGATTACTAACTTACCCTTGGCATTTGCTCTGTAAATCATAGATTTCTTCAACTTGCACCCCCTTAACACCTACAAGAAGATATAGCAGGAGTCACCATGTCGGAAGGAGCAGTCAAGGAATATCAGCAAGGTGATATCCAATGTTAGTCATAGAGTAGACCAAATGAAACAAAAGGAATTAACTCTATTCATTTATTTCAGTGAGGCTACTCTGAATATGACTAACATTCGGTATCATTCATAGACTACCAGTTGCCATACTCACCAAAATCCTCTACTAATAGAGTGAAGAGCCCTACAAAAGAATACAAGACAGAAAATTACTTACTGACCAATTCATGTATACTTCAAAAAGAAACTTTTAGCATTTATTTCACTATGAATGTTAAATGCAAAATCAAGACTAGAAATTATTTAGTCATACTACTGGGCACCTTTATAAAGAATTCAGATGTGTAATATTATTTTTCACTTTTATATTCCACCTTTTCACCAAAGCGTTCACATTGATGTGGATGGATGAGAGAACAAACCTGTGAAGGTTGGTGGGTAACTGGTGCAAGGTCACTTGTAGAGCTTTGCAGCCTAAGGGTACAAACCCACTTCTCATCAGCACAGCACGGGTAAAGCACAGGGGCTAAGGGCCAGAGGGCTGGCTAGCTGGGGGACAATTTCTAAAGTAAGATTGGATTACCGTATATTCCGAGCCAATCTATTTCTTGTTGGTTTGTTTTTTAAAGTAACTCTGGTTAATTTTTGAGCCAATCTAACACAAGCTAAACAGTGCAATAATTGGGACACATACTTAATATTTTTTCAGCTGTGGTGAAGTATACACTAGCTTGAAAAACAGACAGCATATACATGCTAATAATAAGTCTTTCCCCTGCAGAAGGCCTCAGCGGTTTTCTATAGAAAGCATCTATTGTTACAACAGTGTTGGCTGTTGTATTCTAGCATTCCACATTTCCAGAAAAATATGCTTCAACCTTACATGGTGCATCCTTCTAATTGGTTGGAATAAGGTACATTTTCAAGCCTTACTCTCACTGTTTGTTATTAAGTATTTAGACTTCTTTCACATGAATCTGAAAAGTAGAGTTGGATTTGTAGCAAGACAAAGACATGAGGTTTCTTTATTTAGAAATGTTTATAAAGCACTTAATATTTCAAAAATCTAAGTCATGTACCATCAACCAGCCTTTCTCAACCATGGGCCCCCATATATTGTTGGACTGTAACTCTCATCATCCATAGCCAGCAGGACCAGTGGTCAGAGTTGATGGGAGTTGTAGTCCAACACCATCTAGTGACCCAAGGTTGAGGACAGCTGGCTGAAAGGTACCAAATATATAATTTAAAAAGAACAAAACCTATAAAACAGTAATGGAAAAGTGCATAAAATCAAATAAAACAGAAATCCAAAGGGTTCAAGCTTGTAAAACAGGGTCAAATTTTATGGGTCAAGGAAAGCCTGGCCAAAAGGATAAGCTTTCACAGGACATGTGAACCACATGATGGCTGCTGCTTCATGTATGGCAGGGGGAAGGGCATTCCACATTACAGGGGCAGTATAACAGCATAAAAACGTGTCCTGTCACAATGATGATAAAAGGGCTCCATTCAGCTGAAGGGCATACACATATGCAGACCAATATGAACCTGGTTTTGGACATCTCCAAAAATACCACCATCTCACATCCAATGTTATGGGATCTAACTTGCCTTCCTGCCCACTTATCTTGGGCAACCACAAGGCAACATATCATCAGGATATAAAGTCGCCTGCCATTGGGTGGCACAGCATAGACATTGCATGCCACATCTCCACTCCAGCTTCCGATGAATCCCCTTAAAAGTTATAGATGCCCTATGGGCACTGCCACAGATGGGGACAGCCCAATTCCACCGCCAACCTCTCTCCCGCTATCAATGCACTCCCCAAGAACAAGCTTTCAGCCACCACCCGCCTTAGCCAGGTATCCTAGCCCACCACCCTCCCGATTCCCAAGTGGAGGGGGGGGAGAAGCAGCACATCTCCCTCCCCCCCACCTCTTCATTGCCCCAGCCTCGCCCCCCCCGTTCCCCTCCCCGAGGCCTTCCCCTCACGACCCCCCGACGACCGCGGGGGGGGGCTCCCATATTCACTCACCAGGGTCGCTCTCCAGCTCCAGCCAGCCCTTATTCATCTTCCCCCTGGGTCAGGCCCCAGCGCCATGACCGGCCCCAGGCCCTTCACAGACCCACCTGCCCGCCCACCTCCAGCTTCGGCCACCCGCCACCGCCCGCCGTTTGAGAGGCTCCAATTTCACTCCGCCGCCGCCACCTACAACAACAGGACCCCCCACGCTCACGGCGCCGCCTCTTGAGTACGTCATCTCGGCGCGACTCGAGCGCCCGCCCCGACGTAGGAAGAGGGAAATGGAGCGCGGCGAAAGATAAGTCGCGACGCTGTAAGAAAAGTCCCGGGCGGAAAGGGTGGGGGGTTTCCGGTTTGGGCGGAGTTTTAAAGAGCTTTGAGCCTGCAGATGTGCTGGCGAATTCGGTTACAGTACATAAATAGTTGAGCGGGAGGGGGGGGGGAGGACCGTCGCTACTGGTTTGATTTTGTTTTATTATATATTTTGTGTTCTCGTTTTGTATTTCTATGTTGTGAAGTTGCCCTGTGCTGTGATCTTCGGGCGAAGGGTGAGATCTAGCAATAGATAATAAACTTTAAGCTGTTCTGAAGCGGGTGAGGATACGACTCTGGGAACCAGCCCGCCACCACTTTGCATATTTCTGTGTCTGCAATTTCTCCCTAGCAGTCGCAACCTTAAACGGGGAATCCGTTCAGCTTGCGGCGGAAGTCCTCTGCATGCCTAGCCAGAAGCAAGCCTCCATGAGCTTTGAGACTACTAATCCTCGCCATGGCTATTCGGGAGCTCTGCACCCAGTAGGAATTGCGCCCAGGTAATGGGGGTTGAGGTTGCAGCCTTTGATTGTGCACCTAAAGAGACGTGCCAAGAAGGAAACCCCACCCTGTGTAAGCGTGCATAAAGGTAAAGGGACCCCTGACCGTTAGGTCCAGTCGTGGCCGACTCTGGGGTTGCGGCGCTCATCTTGCTTTATTGGCCGAGATGTGGCCAGCATGACTAAGCCGCTTCTGGAGGACCAGAGCAACGCTCGCTACTTACCTTCCCGCCGGAGCAGTACCTATTCATCTACTTGCACTTTTACGTGCATTCGAACTGCTAGGTTGGCAGGAGCAGGGACCGAGGAACAGGAGCTCACCCCGTCGTGGGGATTCGAACTGCCAACCTTCTGATCGGCAAGTCCTAGGCTCTGTGGTTTAACCCACAGCGCCACCCGCGTCCCTGTAATTCTGCATAGGATGGCAGAATTAAACTGATGGGAAGTGTGTGCAAACCAAGTCACGCCTCAACTGGAGTAATGTGTCCTCGTTGGAATATAGACAAAAAGGAATAGGTTCATGGAGGGGGGGAGCAATGAAGACAGTCACCAATACAGAACACAAATCCTATGAGGAAAGGTTGAAGTAACTGATTATATTTACACTGTAGAAGGGAAGGCACAGGTGGGGTATATGATAATGACAGCACTCTTCTCACTACCTGAAAGGCTGCCGTTATAGAACTAGAGGGCAAAAGATTTATTCTCTGCTGCCCTCAAACGCCAGATCTACTAAGCTTAAAGGGGCACGAGATTACTTTTGATGGAAAGAGCAGTTTGACAATTGAACCAATTACCTAGAGAGGTGGTGGACTCTTGCTTCAAGGAGAGGCTGGGGGATTTCCCAAGATTAAACTATTTTATTTTCAAGAATCCATGAATACAGTAATACTTTTTTTCTTATCCTCGGACAATGGGAAAGAATTTGATTTTGAAAAGGCTACCTTTAAAAAAAACAACAACAAGTGATGGGACCATTTCTTGCGCAGGATTGCCTGCATGCATCAAGCAGGGGTGTGGTCTACAAAGCCCCCTCCCTTTCTCTGGATCAGGGCCCTCACATACTGCAGAATTCATGGGCCTGCTGCACATCTAACCATTTAAAATATTTAGTCGGCCCTGTAATACTAAAGATTGTGCAAGTTTATTTGTATTTGCTTCCCCGCCCTCTGTCCCATTTATCCAGGAAGATCACCAAGAAGATTTTTGAACTGGAGAGCACCAAGATGATGAAAAAATATGGCAAGAAACTGAGCATCAGTAAGCCACATGATGGCAGTATCCCCAAAGATATGTCAAATAACCAAGGGCCTTTTTTCAGCCCTTAAACTGTTTTTATTTTGTTTTACTTTGGTGTGTATTTTATGGTTACCTGCCCATCCGTCTGGAAAGGTAGCAACCGTTCCTTTGTAATCATATACCAGGGAAGAATTTACTTTTTTAAAAAATGGAAAGGGGAGTTATAAAATCCTAGCAGAAAGCAAAAGCCACACATTACCATTTACTCCATCTTCAGTGTGCTCCCACCACTGGTATCCAAAGCTGGGTGCACATGAAGTTAGCTACGATCTATATGTAATCCATAGTTTCTTGAGATTTACTTCTGTTTGATGCATTTCCCCTCAAGACAGCTTCCATTCAATTTGAAAACAAGCCATGATTGATCTGAGGTTTGCACAGGTCAAACAGCTGTTGCTCATGGGCAGGTGACAGCGTGTGAATAGATGTCAGCTTCCTTGAATAGGAGTTTGGGGAAGCTGCAGGTGTAGGAAAATAAAGCAGGTAATGTGCATCAAGTGAAGACACCTTTGTCCCCTGCCTGACGTGTACTGCACATGCAAATGTGACTTGAACTGTAGTGGGGGGAAATGATCTCGCTGCATTTTAAGCCACTAATATGTATATACCCTTAGTGACTAATACAGTCCATCTGCCTGGAACAATCTATCACACTTTATGTGAAAATCTGTGCATTTTTAGAATCCCACAAATCCTAAGAGAAGAGCAAATAGCTCCAGTTGACTTTCAAGTGACCTGAGCTGCATACATTAGTTTCATAGGAGATGGATCATAAACAGAATTTGCAGGGAGCATAGGTTGGTGAAAAGGGCACCTACATAATTTATGCTGGTCCTCCCATATTCTTATAACCACATGATCAACTATCTTACATATAGTGGTTACTTTTGTGCCATGGCAGCTGCACCTGACAAATAGTTTCTTCTCCACAACATACAGTGGTGCCTCACAAGACGAAATTAATCCGTTCTGCGAGTCTCTCCGTCTTGCGGTTTTTTCGTCTTGCGAAGCACGGCTATTAGCGGCTTAGCGGCTTTAAGAAAAAGGAAACAAACTCGCAAGAACTCGCAAGACGTTTCGTCTTGCGAAGCAAGCCCATAGGGAAATTCATCTTGCGGAACGACTCAAAAAACGGAAAACCCTTTCGTCTAGCGAGTTTTTCGTCTTGCGAGGCATTCGTCTTGCGGGGCACCACTGTATGCAAGTCAAGCCCAAGTCCACCAACAACAGGGTACCATACATGGAACACTCTCTCCACCCCCTATCCTTTGATACAACTTAGGCTGAGGGATGGTGACTGCCCCACAAGCATCCAATGAGTTTCAGGGCTGAGAGGGGTTCTGAACCTCTAATTCCCCAGGTAATGGTCTAGTGCTCTAGCCGCTAGGGCTATGCTGGATCTCGCCAGGACTCCACAGAGATGAGAGAAGTGTTAATTATGGCAGACAGGAGCCTATGGGTTGCATCAAACTAAGTAGGATCAGCATAAGGTACAATTCTGCGTTTCCATATTGTCATCCATCCAGCTTTGTAAACTCAGGGAAGTCTGCATAGCAAATAAGTTGCCATGACATAGTTACTGCTCATCAAGCAACATCTCTGATTTCAAATAAAGGACTGCATCTCCAAATAAAAGTATCCCTTTAAATAAAATAAACAATAAATAAATTTAAGCGAGGAACATTTGGTAACCATTAAGCACAGACAATCCATTTATATTAAGGGTGCCTTGTATCTGCTATTGAGTCATCGAGTCTTGACAGCAGACTGTGATTGCAGTTACATCACAATTGTCTTTCTACTCCCACCCCCAATATTCATTGCAGATTTCTGTGAAAACTTCCTGATGCCACAAGCGCATGTTCCCACACAAGTAAATATTATTTGCGCAACGATTTGGACGGCGTGCTAAGAATTACACACACAGCATTGTGAAATAAATCAGCAGTTGCATAGCATGAGACGGGGAGAAAACGCAGCCTTAATCATCACGTCTTGGCACTGGCAACGTGAGGGGTCTCTCTTGCCAAGCAAGCAGAATCCCCGTTGGAGCTAACAGCTGCCAGGGCCGTGCTGAACCAAGTCTTCTCAAAGATACAGCTGCTTAAGAAAATCCCAGAGGAGTTATTTGGGTTGCCTGAAAAGCCATAAGTGATCAGGCCCTTACAAGTAATGTGTTCGCGGATGTGTTGCACAACAACATGAAAGCCACCATAGTACACAGTGAATACAGCATACAAAGATTATTTGATGAGATCAGGCACATCCACAAGATTGCTCCATTTCTGCAAAAGTTTGGTGTTATGACAGGAGAAGGGAGGCCCTAAAAAATCTATATACCTCAGGTGTTAAAAGCCCAAGTAAAGAGGTGTTCCTTCAGCATCTGCCAAAAGAAGAGGAGGAGTTTGGATTTGATATCCTGCTTTATCACTACCCTAAGGAGTCTCAAGGGATGCGGGTGGCGCTGTGGGTTAAACCACAGAGCCTAGGACTTGCCGATCAGAAGGTCGGCAGTTCGAATCCCCGCGACGGGGTGAGCTCCCGTTTCTCGGTCCCTGCTCCTGCCAACCTAGCAGTTCGAAAGCACGTCAAAGTGGGAAGGTAAACGGTGTTTCCGTGTGCTTTCTGGTTCGCCAGAAGCGGCTTAGTCATGCTGGCCACATGACCTGGAAGCTGTACGCCAGCTCCCTCGGCCAATAAAGCAAGATGAGCACCGCAACCCCAGAGTCGGTCACGACTGGACCTAATGGTCAGGGGTCCCTTTACCTTTACCTTTAAGGAGTCTCAAAGTGGCTAACAATCTCCTTTCCCTTCCTCCCCCACAACAAACACTCTGTGAGGTGTGTGGGGCTGAGAGACTTCAAGAAGTGTGACTAGCTGAAGGTCACCCAGCAGCTGCATGTGGAGGAGCAGGGAAGCGAACCTGGTTCACCAGATTACGAGTCCACTGCTCTTAACCACTACATCACACTGGCTCCCGTGCATAATGAAGCCACAGTATATAATAAAGATGCCGGACGCACCTCTGTGAGGAGGCAGTGCCGCAACTTATGGGTTGCCACAGAGAATGCCCTCTTCTTA